CACTAATAAATATTTCTTGTTGAGTGTCAGTTCTCTGCCACATTTTGAACACTTAACATCCTGCCAACTAGTCCATGTTCACAGATGAACTCTTGTAGAAGGTCTTCATCCTCCACAAGGATAATTATCTTGTAATAAGACAATGAGCATCTGTCACAAGACGCCCTAACTATGGCTTGCTTGTCTCCTCTTGTGGTAGAACAATAAGTATAGCAACACACAGTTCACTTATTATCCAATGCTACTTGTAAGGTGCTGTAATGAATCAAATGGTATAATATGTGAATGGATTCCAACAAAATGATCCTCATAACATATAAATAGAGTTGGTTTAAGATCCTATTGTGCGGGAAATACAAAATGTATAGGATCAGCGCAGGTCATAGACTCCTGACTCTAGATAGTGAAGTCCGCTACCAAAAACAAAAACAATCAAACCTAACCTAACCTAACCTTCTTGTCCACCTTTACCCATAATATAATGTAATCAAACCTAACCTAACCTTCTCGTCCACCTTTACCCATAATATAATGTAATCAAACCTAACCTAACCTTCTCGTCCACCTTTACCCATAATATAATGTAATCAAACCTAACCTAACCTTCTCGTCCACTTTACCCATAATATAATGTAATCAAACCTAACCTAACCTTCTCATCCACCTTTACCCATAATATAATGTAATCAAACCTAACCTAACCTTCTTGTCCACCTTTACCCATAATATAATGTAATCAAACCTAACCTAACCTTCTCATCCACCTTACCCATAATAATGTAATCAACCAACCTAACCTTCACATCCACCTTTACCCATAATATAATGTAATCAACCTAACCTAACCTTCTCATCCACCTTTACCCATAATATAATGTAATCAACCTAACCTAACCTTCTCATCCACCTTTACCCATAATATAATGTAATCAAACCTAACTAACCTTCTCATCCACCTTTACCCATAATATAATGTAATCAAACCTAACCTAACCTAACCTTCTCGTCCACCCTTACCCATAATATAATGTAATCAAACCTAACCTAACCTTCTCGTCCACCTTACCCATAATATAATGTAATCAAACCTAACCTAACCTTCTCGTCCACTTTTACCCATAATATAATGTAATCAAACCTAACCTAACCTTCTTGTCCACCTTTACCCATAATATAATGTAATCAAACCTAACCTAACCTTCTCATCCACCTTTACCCATAATATAATGTAATCAAACCTAACCTAACCTTCTCATCCACCTTTACCCATAATATAATGTAATCAAACCTAACCTAACCTTCTCATCCACCTTTACCCATAATATAATGTAATCAAACCTAACCTAACCCTAGCAGCTACCTGATAATATTTCACCTTAAAATATAAAGTTTTCTTACCACCAGAATAAATTATCCGAATAAGCTAAAATACACACACCTACATGGGCTATATACACACTGAAATACACACACCTACATGGACTATATACACACAGAAATACACACACCTACATGGGCTATATACACACTGAAACACACACCTACATGGGCTATATACACACAGAAATACACACACCTACATGGACTATATATACACACAGAAATACACACACCTACATGGGCTATATACACACTGAAATACACACACCTACATGGGCTATATACACACTGAAATACACACACCTACATGGGCTATATACACACTGAAATACACACACCTACATGGGCTATATACACACAGAAATACACACACCTACATGGGCTATATTAATGACAGCAGGTTTTAGACACTTACCTCACCTCTCATCTCTCACCTGTAGTTACCTCACTTCTCACCTTATCATTATCTTCACCAATTCTTCCCCTTTTCTCTTATTCTTATCATAATTCTCTCAATTATCATCAAATAACGAGAAAGTTAAAAAATGACAGTAGTTTATAGAGAGATTCACCTACTGTCATTAAACCTCATAGAAAACGGAAGGGGTAACTATAGCAAAATGCCTCTAATGCCCCCTTAAATGCCCTTTATGCTATATTTATGCCTATATGCCAATCTTAGGTTAATAAAAGTGATTTATGTTTAGGAATAAGATTAAATTCACGTTTTTATTATTATTATTAAAGGATATTTAATAAGAGATGAATTTGATTGGGTATCCATCTATCCATTCATTGTGTATATTCCGTCTAAGTTATCGATTTATCCTTCTGTTTATTCATTTCTCTATTCCTACTACCCTCTATCTATCTACCTATCCTTCCCCCCTATCCTCATCTATTTATTTATCTATCTTTCTATCTACGAGCGCAAAAAGAACGAAAATTCATGGGTAGTTTAGATTTTGAGTTTGATGAGAAAAACAGATTTCTGGAGAGGCCACAGACAGACAGACACACACACACACAGACACACACACAGACACACACAGACACAGACACAGACACAGACACAGACACACACACACACACACACAGGTAACACTAATTAATGAGGTCAAGGTGCACATAGGTCAAAGGAGATTGTGATGACTTGTGGATAATAAGGAACCAAAGTGAGGATATTGAAGTGACACTGAACAAATAACTAATGAACAAATAACCAACGAATGAACAAATAACTAACGAACAAACGGATAAATAAACAAAACCCATAAATAAATATTAAAACTGGTTTATTTGATAACAACACAATAACAATAATGCATTACAGGGAGACACTATTAACGCTCAATTGACTTAACTGGTGGATACTGTACGTGAGAGTTCTATTAGGCCCCAGTTCTATTACAACAGGGGCCCAATAGAACAAGGGGCCACAGAACAGGGGCCCATCGGAACAGGGCCCACTAGAACAGGGGCCCAATATGACAGGGCCCAATATGACAGGGGCCCAATAGAACAGGGGCCCATTATGACAGGGCCCATTAGAACAAGGGGACCATAAGAACAGGGGCCCAATATGCAGGGGCCTCAATATGACAGGGGCCTCACAGGAACAGGGCCCATTAGGAACAAGGGACCACAGGGAATAGGGGCCCAATATGACAGGGGCCTGACATGACAGGGGCCCATTAGAACAGGGGCCCATTAGAACAGGGGGTCACATAGAACAGGGACCATAGAACAGGGGCCCAATAGAACAAGGGCCCACAGGACAGGGCCCATGACAAGGGCCCATAGAACAAGGGCCCACAGGAACAGGGGCCCAATAAAAACAGGGGCCCAATAGAACAGGGCCCATAGAACAGGGGCCCACAGGAACAGGGCCCACAGAACAGGGGCCCAATAGAACAGGGGCCCAATAGAACAGGGGCCCAATAGAACAGGGGCCCAATAGAACAGGGCCCACAGAACAGGGGCCCAATAGAACAGGGGCCCAATAGAACAGGGGGTGAATTAGTTTCTAAATACAAATACCAAAAAAATGTAATAAATTTCAAAATACATAAATGCAAAATACAGTTATATTAATACTGCCATGATAAAGAGTGCTACAGAGACTACAGGAGAATTACAGAACCAACAAGAACTACAAATTATACAAAGAGTTGACAATTACATTAGTTACATACATTACAGTAGAGAATAGAGGATTACATGATGTTACATGATAATGGAGTGGAAAAATTACAGTATAATTTGAGATTACAGTAAGTAACCAATTGTTTTGTAATATATAGTTACAAAATTATGTATTACAGTAACAACAGATAGCATTAACTCTATAAATACAGTACTAGTTTATTACAGTGCTATTAACTACAGTATTACAGTAAATACATAAGTTTCACCACAGACAGATACAAAACCTACACATTACAGGGATATTACAGTGATTTGGTGTATTGTTGCAGAAATAAACTTGCAACAGTAATATGGTTTTGTTTGTAATTAATACGAGAGAGAGAGAGAGAGAGAGAGAGAAGAGAGAGAGAGAGAGAGAGAGAGAGAGAGGATTAGTCAAATGAGCTCCTAATAGGCCCCAATCTAACCTAACCTAACGACGTGAACATTGGAATTAAAAAAAACACGAATTCCTGATATATTAAGTTTAAATATGTGCTTAGAAGACATATTCTGACAGCCTATAGACATGATAGATTTATATTACAGAAGTGACACCACAAAGACCATTAATGCCTCATGATAGCAAATGCCCCAAATGTCTACTAATGCCTTATAATACTGTATTGTCTTAAATAAAATTAATCTTAAGGAATTATAATTGTCAAACTTAATTATATACAGTCGAGCATTATTTAATTGCACTTAGAAAGATACTGATTTAAAAAAATTCCACCATTGAATGTGAAATTGAGACGTTCATTTGTTTTTCCGAGATGACGTCATTGAGAAATTAAATACGGGTTGTGTATCACTGAAATCATTTACGTGACCCAGTCGAATATTAGAGCATCAATTAAAAAAAAATTAAAATTACTTAATTATATAAAAAAATTAACAATACATCACCAGAGTTACCTAAAATAATAATAATAATAAACAGAATTACAATATCTTATGTACCTAATGGCTGCTGAACTAGACATAGCCATTAAAAAACAAAATTCAAACACAAAACACAATTACAAAATCACATTAAAAATCACAAAACAAAAAAAATCACATTACAAATTACAGCCGATACAGAGAATAAAAAAATACGGCAGATTTTGAAAGTCACTGATTTTGGTAGATTTCGTGAATTTCTTATCTAATATAATTACTAAAATCTGGAATAATTCATCAAAAAAATCTGGTATAATTATTGATTTTTTGTTATAATTAATAACTTAAATCTGTTACTTAAATCAGTCAGTCACTTAAAATCAGCCCAAATCACTTAAAATCAGCCCAAATCACTTAAAATCAGCCCAAATCACTTAAAATCAGCCCAAATCACTAAAAAATCAGCCCAAATCACTTAAAATCTGCCCAAATCATTAAAATCATCCAAATCACTAAAATCAGCCCAAATCAAAACGCCCAAACACTTAAAATCAGCCCAAATCACTTAAAAATCAGCCCAAATCACTTAAAATCAGCCCAAATCACTTAAAATCATCCAAATCACTTAAAATCAGCCCAAATCACTTAAAATCAGCCCAAATCACTTAAAATCAGCCCAAATCACTTAAAAATCTGCCCAAATCACTAAAAATCTACCAGCATCACCGGAAATAACTCATTGAGCATAACACAATAACACGGATAATTGACGTCTCTATTAATTCTACACGTTAATAGGCCCACGTCCCTATTACACTAACCAATTTCTATACAATAATATCATGAATCCATCTCAAAAATTTAGTTATTTTCGTGTACATTCCCGGCTGCAGTCTCCTTCCACAACCTTTACCCCATGATGTAATGCCATATAAAATGTGTTTCCCATTAACTTTACAGGTTAATGGACCTCCTGAATCACCTGTACACGTGTCTATTTTCCCATTTAGGTTACCTGCGCAGATCATACCCGAGGTGACTTCAAAGGCGCCGTATTTACCTGGGCCAGTACAGGTTGACATCTCGTAGATATTGACTTCACCTGATCGTGGTAGATCCTAGTTTTGAAGAAGGATGAGGGTGGTACTATTAGTGCTATTAATACTACTATTATTTCTACTACTATGACTACTATTACTACTACTATTATTATGACTACTACTACTACTACTAAGAATAATAATAAAAACAATATATTTTTTTTATATTTCAAACTAAATTTAGATTTCTGTCCATAATAAAAACAGACAGACAGACAGAGACAGACAGACAGGGACAGACAGACAGACACACAGACAGACAGACAGACAGAGAGACAGACAGAGACAGACAGACAGACAGAGACAGACAGACAGACAGACCTGGGGTATAGGAGGCGCCCTCTCTGAAGTAGTTCCCCAGCCTGTAATAGTACAGTCATCAAGTCCACTGTAACTCTCGTCTTCAGTAGGGAGACAGGCTGGCTGTATCGACCTGCTGAACCTGTAGATAAGACACATTACAGTAGGTTAAGATACAGTTCAGTCATTACAGAGGCTACAGACTTATAAAGTACAAAATTCGGGACCATTTTTCAACTGGGTCGACTGTATGATCTTTTAAAATACAGTGAATACAGATTACAGATGATTTGGATGCAGTATTGACCTGATGACCTAAGCTACCCACTCTAGTGACCTGATATGACCCCAGGTGACCTCTCGTGACCTGATCTAACCCAGTTGACTTCTATCGTGACCTGTACTGACCTGATATGACCCCAGTTGACCTCTCGTGACCTAGCTGACCTGATATGTCCCCAATTAACCTTTCGTGTCCTGTACTGACCTGACACGACCCCCCATTTAACCTCTCATGACCTCTACTGACCTGACATGACCCCAGCTGACCTCTCGTGACCTGTACTGACCTGATACCTCTGCCGCCCTTCCTGGTGACCTTGAGAATGGCCAGGTCATTGTTGAACTCTACTGTGGTGTCAAATTCGTCGTGCATCCATAGCTTCTCAATCTGGAAGTCCTGGAAAAGAGAGAGAGGGTGATAGTGGTGGTGGTGGTGGTGGTGATAGTGGTGGTAGTGGTTGTGGTGAGTGGTGATGTAGTTGTGGTGTAGTGGTTGTGGTGGTTGTTGTTGTGGATGTGATGGTGGTTGTTGTTGTGGTGTGGTGGTGGTAGTGGTGGTGGTGTGGTGTGGTGGTGGTAGTGGTGTGGTGGTGGGTGGTGTGATGGTAGTGGTGGTGTGTGGTGGTGGTGGTGGTAGTGGTGTGGTGGTGGTAGTGGTGGTGGTGGTGGTGGTAGTGGCAGTGGTGGTAGTGACAGTGGTGGTAGTTAGTGGCAAATTACATTCATAAACATTATTATTATTATATATATCATTTACTGTCCAATCAAACTAAACTACTATCCTTCAACTACTCTTACTTTCCATATTCATTTCAGCTACTTTCCTAACCTTGTGAGTACTTCCCTGTATAGTGAACCCTAAAAATCATTGATACTAACCCTACACAGACTAGTACCTACTTCCCTAACCATAAGTACTTCCCCCAGCTACTTTCCTAACCTTGTGAGTACTTCCTAAGCTAGTGACACATAAAAATCATTGATACTAACCCCAAAACTACTTACCCAGCTCTCTATATCCACCACCTACTTCCCTACCCGCAAATTACCTCCCTCCAAGCTACTTTCCCTACCAACAAGTACTTCCCAGGTTATTCTCCCATAAAAAACTAACCCTAATCTCACATCATTACCTACTTTCCCTTAACATAGTATCTCCACCTCACCTACTTTCCTTACCTCTTGGTCACTTTCCATCGTGTTTATAGAGTAGTCACCCACTCTTATGACGTAGCCTGACGGCCGTGGATTTGAAGCCAATGGGCGGCAGTAAGCACATAATCCTTCGCTATAAACACCACCGCAATTATGCTTTAGTCTTCCTGAAAATATCGAAAAATGGTGGTAATGGTGGTAGTTGTGGTTGTGGTTGTGGTTGTTGCTGTGATGGTGGTGGTGGTTGTTGTTGTGATGGTGGTGGTGGTGGTTGTTGTTGTTGTGGTGGTGGTGGTTGTTGTTGTTTTGGTGGTGGTGGTGGTGGTTGTTGTTGTGATGTGGTGGTGGTGGTGGTGGTTGTTGTTGTGATGTGGGTGGTGGTTGTTGCTGTGGTGATGTGGTGGTGGTGGTGGTTGTTGTTGTGATGGTGGTGGTGGTTGTGTGTGGTGGTAGTGGTTGTTGTTGTGATGTGGTGGTGGTTGTTGTTGTTGTTGTTGTTTTGGTGGTGGTGGTGGTGGTTGTTGTTGTTGTTGTTGTTGTGGTGGTGGTGGTGGTTGTTGTTGTGGGATGTGGTGGTGGTTGTTGTTGTGATGTGGTGGTGGTTGGTTGTTGTGATGTGGTGGTGGTTGTTGTTGTTGTTGTTGTTGCGATGTGGTGGTGGTGGTGGTTGTTGCTTGTTCTGGTGGTGGTGGTGGTATATTGCCTGATGTGTGGTGGTTGGCTTGTTATGGTTGCCGGTGATGTAAGTGGTTGTTGGTTGTGGTTGTGGTAGTTGTTGTTGTGAGTGGTGTTGTTGGTTGTATGGTGTTATTGTGTTGTTATTGTTGTTATGGTGGTGGTGGCGTTGTTGTTGTTGCGGGATGCGGTGGTGGTTGCGGAGTGCGTGCATACGCGGCCTGTTGGAGTGGTGGCGGTTTGTTGGTCATTTGTTGTGGTGGTGAAGGTCGTTGTTGTTCGTGTGGTGGTTGTTGTTGTGGTTGTTCAATGGCTTGGTTGGCATTGTTGTCATTGTTGTATAAGTTGCGGTCATTGTTGTGGAAAATGTTGTTGTCGTTGTTGTTATTGTTGTTGTTGGATGCGGCCGTGATGATGTGTGATGTTATGGTGGGTAATGTGCATGTTGTCATTTGGTGTTGTCGTCGTGTTGTTGTGGTTGGTGTTGTTGCTGTTGTCGTTGTTGCTAGTTGTTGTTGTTGTTGTTTTGTGGTGGTGGTGGTTGTTGTTGTTGTTGTTGTGGTGGTGGTGGTGGTGGTGGTTGTTGTTGTTGGTGGTGGTGGTGGTGGTGGTGGTGGTGGTGTTTGTTGTTGTGGTAGTGAATGATTCCTTTTAGGGGGGTCCCACCACCAGAGAAGCTAGTTTATTGTGCACCCCACACCTGTAATTTGTAATGCCAAAATAGATTACAGGTATGACGATTTGAGTACAGGATTTGAGTACATAAGTGATTTACTATCTATTAGTTGCTAAATATGGTTAGGGTAGGTTAGGTTAGATTAGGGTTAGGTTAGTCAAGAGTAGTTAGGTAGGTTTGGTTAGGTAGGGTTAGGGTTTGCTAGGGTTAGGTTAGGTTAGGAACTTACATCTTCTCAGTTGTAGAGAAACCAGCCATGGATACTCTAGAGGCTGTTGTGTTGAGCCTCCGATAATCTTGGCAAAATTATCGATTAAGAAAGACGAAGAAGAATCAGTCCTTCCCCACACCTGTCTGGCAGCGCTGTCTGGAGCCCTCGATTGATGGCGCCGCGTCTGTGGAGGGAAAAATCTTGTACTGTATGTTTACTTCCGTGGATTGTGTTTGTTGATGTTGTTTGTGTGTGTTTGTTGAGGATATGTGAAGGTATATGTAATTATGTATACATATATAATAATAATAATGGTTGCCTCTCATGTATCGAGGATGGCCGACCCTAGAGCCACCTAGACGTAGATTTGTTTAAGGTGTAGAAGCTGTCACCAACACAACAACCACACCCTGAGATAACGAGCTGCACGACCCAGTGTCAAGGAATAGTCCGAGAAGACCGGACAACTCACCAACTACACTGGCTAACAATTACCCCAGAACACAATCCACAAATTAACATCCAGGTCCCCGATTACTACTGGATAGACAGAGGCAAAAGTCTCACCCTGCCCGGGGATAGAACCTTGGACCAGATGCTTGTGAGAGGCGAGCAAACACCATTACACCACAGGTCACCACACACTCACCTTGTAGTATAACATGTCACCCCAGCGTCTTCTGAATGGGTACAATCAGATGACCCTGGCTGTGATTTCTTACATAATCTCAAATCAGTTTCGGTTCCTTGACAATCCATCGAATCCAGCCAGACCGGCCCTGAACCCCGCCAAAGTGAGCTTTTATGCAATGGCATCACCTTGGTAACCTAACATACGGCAAACAACCTGGAAAAGGTAGTTAAGTCATGAATTGGTCTTGGTTCAAATGGGTGTTAAGGATCATTTTCAGTTCTAATAGGGCCCAGTTCTAATAGGTCCCAGTTCTAATAGGGCCCAGTTATAATAGGTCCCAGTTCTACAGGTCTCAGTTAGGTTAGATACACATTAGATTAGGTTAGATTATATTAGGTTATATTAGGTCAGGTCAGGTTAGCTCAGGGTAGATTTGTTATAGATAGTCACATTAGGTCAAGTCAGGGTAGGTAAGGTTAGGATAGATTTGTTATAGATTAGGTCACATTAGGTCGCAGGTCAGGGTAGGTAAGGTTAGGATAGATTTGTTATAGATTAGGTCACATTAGGTCAAGTCAGGTCAGGGTAGGTAAGGTTAGGATAGATTTGTTATAGATTAGGTCACATTAGGTCAGGTCAGGTCAGGTTAGGGTAGATTTGTTATACATTAGGTCAAGTCAGGTCAGGTCAGGCCACACAAAACACCCACCTTGGCATCGTAATCATCAAAATCATCGTCACAAATTGTCCCCCATTTGCCAGCCAGCTTCACCTCAGCCCGACCGCTGTTAACAGTCGGGCCATCAACCAATCGCACTTGAATCTGTAATGTGATTGGTCAAATTAGTTCCTGATTGGTCAAATTTCTTCCTAATTGGCTTAAAACTGGTTCCTCATTGGTTAATACACACAAGACATAATTGATACAGACATATGGCTAATAAATACAGACACAGACAGACATATGGCTTATAACACACACACACACACACACACACACACACACACACACACACCCAAACATGGCTAAACAGACATCAACTCACCTCATCAGAGCATAAAACGCCCACATCTTCACTATGGTCACAATCTGTCACGCCCCAGACAACGCCCAGACATTGTCCTAGCCATGACTCACTGCCCTGTTAAGTAAAACACATTTGTATAAGTATTCTAAGTAACAATAAGTTGGTAAGACATTATTATAAGTGTCCCAAGTACTCACACACCCCGACAGATCCCGACAGAACCCCCCGACAGAACCCCGACATAACCCCGACACAACCCACATACCCCGACAGAATCCACCAATATCCCGACACTCACCCGACAGCCAGGTTCATCCACTAGTATCTCACCACGCCCACGCCCGAAGTACGCCTCGGTAGGCCACCGCCCACCCTCCTTGATACCCGAGGCTCCGACAGACAACCTGGAATGATTATTATTACTTAGTATGTCTGTCTATCTGTCTATCTATCTAGCCATCAATATATATATGTATGTATGTATGTATGTATGTATGTATGACTGTCTGTATGTATGTATAAGTCAGAACAACTTACCTTAGCATGGCTGTCATCAAAGCTATCATCACAGACAGTACCCCATTGACCAAAGTGCTTCACGTAGACAGTACCGGCAGTAGTTCCTTCTAAAGTACTTCTCGTAGTTTCTAAACGAGTCACTCCTACATCGTCACATAGTTCAGGTGCCTCGTCACTGTAGGGAGGGTGGTTGTAGTAGTAGTAGTAGTAGTAGTAGTAGTAGTAGTATTGATTAGATAAACAAACTGGTACACACATACATACATACATACAAATTAATATACACACAAAAATAACACACACACACACACACACACACACACACACACACAAACAACTCACCTGCCATCAAAACAATCCTTGACCTTATCGCACACCTGTGACCTCTTACAGGTGTGGAGTCGGGCTGAGCCACTGGAACTGGTCACTTAGGCACAGTGCCACACCTGTCCGGCACACCACACCTGCAATCTGGAAGAGAGGATGTGACAGGTGTGTGTTTTTGTTTGTTTGTTTTTTGCAGGTGTGTACCAAATCTACTTACATAGATAAACCTCATACGTACACGCCACCCCCCCCCACACACACACATAGGTATCCACGCACATGTGAACATAATTCCATAGGAGAAACAGCCATGTACACACACACACACACAGAAGTCCCCTACACATACATAGATATCAACGCACATGTGTACATAATTCCATAGGAGAAAGTCATGTAAACACACCTACACACCACTCCCTCCCCCACACAAACACACATAACGCACACGTGTACATACCTCCGTGGACCCACAGTCATGTACACCCACACCGCCAGACGGACATTCAAACAGGTTCTCTTCACGTCCTGTACATGCTAACTTGTCCAACCAGAACTTAGGTCGACTCCTTCTCCATACTGAAAGATAAATCCGGGTTAGATTACGTTAGGGTAGGGTAGAGTACATGAGAATTCTATCTATGTGTCTATCTATCTATCTATCTGTCTATCTATCTATCTATCTATCTATCTATCTATCTATCTATCCAGGTCAACAGACACACCAATACAAACCTGTGTCACTATTTCCGTATCGATTATTACGAGTGAAACTATCGGCTGAAGGATAACCAAGGCTTCGACACACCAGATCCGCGGCTTCGAATCCAAATCCATCATCGCACACGAAGCCCCATTCACCATTCACCTTTACCTGTGGAGAGAGAGGGGGGAGGGAGGGTGTTATCTGATTAATATTTCAAGTTGAGTTGGATTTAGGATACTGCGGGAGGAGGTGGGTTGGGGGGAGGGGTGTACCTGGTTAATATTTCAAGTTGAGTTGGATTTAGGATACTGCAGGAGGAGGTGGGTTGAGGAGGGTGTACCTGGCTAATATTTCAAGTTGAGTTGGATTTAGGAATACTGCGGGAGGAGGTGGGTTGGTTAGGTTAGGGGTGTTTGGTTGATGGTATTGATATGTATATACACATACATATATATTATACATTATATATATACAGCTATACACATACATACACAACCACACCACGACTTACATACGTACACAGACACACACACACACACCTGTACATTCCCTTCATGGCGATTATTTCCACCAATCAACTCGATATCAAATTTCTCGGCTGTTCCACATTGTTTCTCGTCCGTCCCATCGCCACAGTTATCAAGCCCGTCACATTTCTTTCTTCTGTCTATACACCTCTCGTTAGCGCAGGTGAACCGTCCATTACAGGTGCGTCGGCGTGCGCGAAGCTCGTAAAAGTCCTCTTGATTAGACGGTACGATGCCAGAAGACCCGATGTCATTACTGCTTAACATACATCTGTGGGAGTTGGTTAGGTTTGGTTAGATTACATTTGATCAGGTCAGGTCAGGTCACATCAAAAAAAAGGTGAAAATTTAAAAATATGGCCAAAAAACATTCAAAAAGGCAAAAAAATTATATAAAAAGTAAAAAAAACGTAAAAAAGGCCAAATGTAAAAAAAGGCCAAATGTAAAAAAAAGGCCAAATGTAAAAAAGGCCAAATAAATGTAAAAAAAAAGCCAAAAAAAGGCCAAAAATTTCCCCAAAAGGCCAAACACCAGCCCGCAATACTCACTGTTTGGTGACTCCATTAAACAGGAAACCCCGACAGAGGAAATTCTCAATACACTGTTTACCACACACTCCAACATCCGCCCTCGGGAACACGGCCAACACTTGACCGTCAACTAGAGTGCGTTTCCTCCTCACTTCGAACCCCTGTGAGGGAAGGTGCGGTAGAATTAGGGTCTGTGGGTGTGTTCTGTGATTAGGTTGATGAAGGAGGGAGGGACTAGACAGACAGACAGACAGACAGACAGACAGATAGATAGAAAGACATACCCCCCCCCCCACACACACACCTGTAGTAAAACACACCTGCACTCATTACACACCTGCAGAAAGCGTTTACAAAGGTGTTCGTCGTCTCCCCGTGGGCACTGCCTCTCTCCATCACACACCTGCTTGGGGTCTACACATATGTCGCTACTCTCACAGGTGTGTTCCTCTGATCTACACCGCACCTGTGAAGAAATGAAATACACCTGTTAATTATACACCTGTTGGGTATACACCTGTAGTAGTAAAAATAATAATAGCAGCAGTAGTAGTAGTAGTAGTAGTAGCAAAAATAATAGTAGTAGTAGTAGACAAAACTTACCTTAGCAACGGTAGCTCTAGTAGTAGTAGTCGTAGTAGTAGTAGTAGTAGTAGCAGTAGTTGGTAACCTTGTAGTACTAGAATGCAATGGCCGTAGTAATGTGGTAGTCCTCTGAGCCATACCTGCTACACACACACAGTATAAATATTCATAGACACACTTCCACATAGTACAGTACATGGTGTGTTTTATGAGATGTGGCACCACTGTGTTTGTTTACATAGACACTTCCACATAGTACAGTACATGGTGTGTTTTATGAGATGTGGCACCACTGTGTTTGTTTACATAGACACACTTCCACATAGTACAGTACATGGTGTGTTTTATGAGATGTGGCACCACTGTGTTTGTTTACATAGACACACTTCCACATAGTACAGTACATGGTGTGTTTTATGAGATGTGGCACCACTGTGTTTGTTTACATAGACACACTTCCACATAGTACAGTACATGGTGTGTTTTATGAGATGTGGCACCACTGTGTTTGTTTACATAGACACACTTCCACATAGTACAGTACATGGTGTGTTTTATGAGATGTGGCACCACTGTGTTTGTTTACATAGACACTTCCACATAGTACAGTACATGGTGTGTTTTATGAGATGTGGCACCACTGTGTTTGTTTACATAGACACACTTCCACATAGTACAGTACATGGTGTGTTTTATGAGATGTGGCACCACTGTGTTTGTTTACATAGACACACTTCCACATAGTACAGTACATGGTGTGTTTTATGAGATGTGGCACCACTGTGTTTGTTTACATAGACACACTTCCACATAGTACAGTACATGGTGTGTTTTATGAGATGTGGCACCACTGTGTTTGTTTACATAGACACACTTCCACATAGTACAGTACATGGTGTGTTTTATGAGATGTGGCACCACTGTGTTTGTTTACATAATAATAACAGTGTGTACAATGGATGTTAAGTACTGGTTATATTGAAGTGAGTCTTAATAATAATAATAATAATAATTATTTTAACACAATTACACGTATATTTATTGATTTACAGGTGTTAGTACGTGCAGGTAAACACAAAATTACCTGGACAATTTATATCTGGCATCATCTACTCAAGGGATCGTTTATATAAGAGGGACTCAGTTTATAACCCACTAGTAGATGCCAAATATTTCCATGTTTTGAGGAGAATATTCTTTGTTTACTTATAATTTTACATATTTTATTCATTTAAGTGGTTAAGTTGACGCTGTGGATTGGTTCAGATATATAAATCAGTCGTTTAATGTATGAAAAATGTTTATATTGTGAGGTGTATTTAGTGAGTGGTGTTTACGTCATAGATGGCATTCGTTGTCGCCAGAATTTTGAAGGAATGTTTCTGAGTTTCGTTAAATTGCCGATAGTAAAAGGGTAACATTTACTGATATAATCCTGCGTTTGTATGTATGTTAATGATAATTGATTAATGATAATGATGACAATTATTTTTATACGATATTTAGACGTTATTGTAAGCACGGGAATTAAATATTAAATAAGTATTAAATATTATTATTTTCGATTTAATTATCTAAAATATTTACTCTAAAAATATCAATCTAAACCGAACGAAATAGAACGATATAATTGAGGCGCTCATGAACGATCGACTTATTTACCCGGAGCGGCCGTTCCCCCGATGACGTCACTGCAGGGCTTCACGTCACAGGGTTCAGCATTAAGGGCGTCCACGAAGCACCAGGGCTTAAGGGCTCCGTCAGGGTTCCGGCAGTAGTTATGGGAGCCTATTAGACCCAGATCAAAGTTTCTGGCCCGGGAGGAGGAGCGACCGTGGAGTGAGTTGATGGTCGGGTCGGTCCACATAAGACATGTTTTCCCGGTGATGGTGACGTCAGCGCTGCCGGCGTACGATGCCCCGTCACCATCGTAACAGCCTAAGTAATGGTGATAATGATAGTGATAGTGAAGGATAGATAGTTGAATAATAGATAATAATAGATAATTTAATAAGACACTAAGTTGATAATAATAATGAAATCGTCAAATAATAATAATAGTAATAATAATAATCGTATTAATTATAGCTGTATTAGTAGTATTAATAGAAGCCAAAAAATAGTGATGTAAAATATATTAATAAAAAGTAATAAAAAAAATAATTTTATAGATATTACGACGTTGAGGTGTAAAAACAAAAGCTATCGACTATAAGTAACTCAATAATTATCAAAGCGTTTATACTCTAAAAACAAAAGCTATCGACTATAAGTAACTCAATAATTATCAAAGCGTTTATACTCTAAAAAACAAAAGCTATCGACAATAAGTAACTCAATAATTATCAAAGCGTTTATACTCTAAAAACAAAAACTATCGACAATAAGTAACTCAATACTTATCAAAGCGTTTATACTCTAAAAACAAAAACTATCGACAATAAGTAACTCAATAATTATCAAAGCGTTTATACTCTAAAAACAAAAGCTATCGACAATAAACAAAATAATTGAAATAAAATGAAAAACAAAAGAAATAATTGAAGAATAATGAAATGTACGATAATTTGGGGAGAGAAATTTGGCAACACTGTCGATATCGTTGCCAGATGTATGACTAAGAAGATGTATAGACAGATATACACATATATACATACATACCTCACTCAGACATATATATATACGTACATATACCCTGAAATATACATATATATACACACACAAACACACACACACACAAACACACACATACTTTCAAAAACATTCATAAACAAAAATAAAAACCTGACTCAAACACACGAGAAAAAAAAATAAATAAAAAATGATTAAAAAAAAAAATAAATAAATTGGAAAAAAAAGTTGTTGAGGAAAAAATTACGAAATATTGAAAGAATTTATTAATGACGTAACAAAATGATTAAACAGGAAGTGACGTCATGGATGTCAACAAAAGTAACTTGGCTGGGAATAAAACGGCTGGATTTTGTTTCTTTTGTTAATTTTGTTTAATGTAGAGAAAGAAAGATTGAGTTTCCAATGATGGGTTTTTTCTGTCACCTGCTGATTAGACAACCTAACCTAACCTAACCTAATCCTAACCAAACCTAACCTAACCTAACCTAACCTAACCTAATCCTAACCAAACCTAACCTAACCTAACCTAACCTAACCTAACCTAAACCTAACCTAACCTAACCTAACCTAACCTAACCTAACCTAATCCTAACCAAACCTAACCTAACCTAATCCTAACCTAACCTAACCTAATCTACAGGTTCAGTACAGGTCACTACAGGTTCACTACAGGTTCCCCACACTTAACTACCCTCACGTAGGACAATTAACTACCTAACTACATCAAGCATCGTTACATCAGGTAGTTACTTAGTGAATTACCTTACATAACTCTATAGTGTAACCCTGATGAAATTACCAAGGCTCCTACTTCCGTGTTGTGAAAATGACTTGTCTGTTTTGAGGTGGGTAGGTGGGCTGGGGTGGGTAGGTGGGTAGGGGTGTGGGTGAGGGTGGGTGTAAGATGGGTGATGGGTGGATGCAGTTACGCCCATATTCCACATACACATATATGTACACACACGTACACACACACCCACACCTACACACACTCTCTCTTTCTCGGGTCAAAACAGTGCTGAGAGACGTTCCAACTCAGGGCAAGAAGGCGATATATCCCACGAACACCACAAAGTCGAAAATCCCCACATGAACACGTTTTAAATTCGTCCTTACGACAGCTTAGGTTAGGTTAGGTTAGTGTTAGGTTTGGTTAGATTAGGTTAGGTTAGTATTAGGTTAAGTTGTTAAATTATTATTATTATTATTATTATTATTCTTATTATTATTATTATTATATTTTCATTATTATTATTATTATTATTATTATTATTGTTATTATTATTATTAGTTATTATTATTATTATTATTATTATTATTATTATTATTATTATTATCAACAAACACAATCATCACTACAACACAACCCTGAACACTACACCACAATGCACCATTAAATCCGTGTCACATAAAGAATTATCTCAACAGCATAAACCGTAAATAAAGTCTACAGCATTAAGTCCATATGTATACTGACAGTGTATACATGTACGTGGATTAATATACATATACATGACTGTTTAAAATGGTCTGTCTATCTGTCTGTCTGTCTGTCTATTAGTCTGTCTATTAGTCTGTCTGTCTGTCTGTCTGTCTATTAGTCTGTCTATTAGTCTGTCTGTCTGTCTGCCTGCCTGTCTATCTATCTATCTGTCTATATGTCTATTTATCTATCTACCCGCCTCTCCATCCATCTATCCACATTAAAAATAACCTAATCCACTTACCCACATCTCTGACTTTAGCTTGACACACAAAGGGCCTCTTCTCCCTGCAGTCAGAGGCGCTGTAGAAGTAGAATCCGCTGTCGTAGGAACTGGTTGATGTAGGACTCAGCGGGAAGGATCTCTTAAGGATGACACAGGATTCCGGATCAATAGCGGGTGGCGGAGTGGTTATGGTGCTCGATGTGGCATTCCAACCTGTAGGGATGTTGGTTCGAGAGATTAGATTTGGGTGTGGGTGTGTGGGTATGTGTGGGTGTGTGTGGGTATGTGTGTGGGTATGTGTGTGTGTGAGGGGGGGGCTGTAACCTAACCTGTATTAAGAAGAAGCATAAATTACATAACCCTGAAAGACTGCAACCAAACCTAACCAAACTGTAACGAAACCATACCTGGCCACCATTTGACGTGTTGAAAAGGTTGCTGAGTACTTTCCCACGCCCATCGCCTCACGCCCACGCCGTCAGTATAGAACTCTAAGTTATCCAAGGACTCAGTTAAGAGTTCTGAAATGTACTCGTGTTCAGCCTGTGGAGGAAAAAAAGAGAGTTTAAGTGTTTGTCTGTTTGCCTGTCTATCTGTCTGTCTGTGGGAATCTGTCTATCTATCTATCAATCTTAACCACACGCCCACACCACCCACCTGGTTATCAATAGACAGTAACTGGCCACCCCTCTCGTTACACATAGCCCTCGCTGAGTCCTTCGTAGTCCTGTAGTTATCCTGAACGAGGTAACACATCTCCTGCCATCTGTTCCAAGGACGACCCACTGTTTCCCTTGCTGTAGTCTGCTGTCGTGGGCATCTGTGGGTCGGGGCACGGCTACATCTGTGGGGGCAGAGGGGGGGGTGGGTTTAGTAGGGTATTGATGGTGATTTGTGGGGGTAATAGTGGTGATTTATGGTGATTTATGGGGGTAATAGTGGTGATTTATGGTGATTTGTAGGGGTAATAGTGGTGATTTATGGTGATTTGTGGGGGTAATAGTGGTGATTTATGGTGATTTGTGGGGGTAATAGTGGTGATTTATGGTGATTTATGGGGGTAATAGTGGTGATTTATGGTGATTTATGGTGATTTATGGGGGTAATAGTGGTGATTTATGGTAATTTTTTGTGTTTTTTCTCTCTCTCTGTCTCACACACTCCTCCCTCCCTCACACACACCTTATCGTCACTACAGCAGTTTGAGGAAGGCAGGTGGTACAGGGGTTCAAACTACACTGTGTAATTCTCGTAGCCCCACCAGGACATCCAAGCTGAACAATGGGGCTTGAACCTCGAGCAGTCCCCAATACGCCTCTTCCTGACTCGTATCTGCAGAAGGAAGGGTGATAAATTGTAGTAGTAGTAGTAGTAGTAGTAGTAGTAGTAGTAGTAGTAGTAGTAGTAGTAGTAGTAGTAGTAGTAGTAGTAGTAGGTAGTAGTAGTAGTAGTAGTAGTAGTAGGTAGTAGTAGTAGTAGTAGTAGAAACAGTAGTAGTAGTAGTAGTAGTAGTAGTAGTAGTAGTAGTAGCAGTAGTAGTAGTAGTAGTAGTAGTAGTAGTAGTAGTAGTAGTAGTAGTAGTAGTAGTAGTAGTAGTAGTAGTAGGTAGTAGTAGTAGTAGTAGTAGTAGTAATAATAATAATAATAATAATAATAAAACCAATCATATGGCAACACTAGCTTAAACAAACCAACTAAATCCTCCACAAACAAACTAAAACAAACACAACAAACACAACTCCCCCAACATAAAACAATACACCAAAATAAAACACCAACCACCCCAAAAAAAAACCACAAAAATAAAACACAGCTAAATATTTACGGTTTAATAATTATCATACATCGTCAACACACACAATGGCGGGCAGGAAATCGTCTGTTTTTTTCCTTAAATTATCGTTTTCTCAGAATTTTTTTTGAGGGATGGATGAACTTGAAAGGAATTAAAATGATCTAATTTTCCAGTCTAAGGAATTTGTTTGACTTAGTGGTGATACATACATACATACATACATACATACATACAAAGATTATCTCTCTCTCTCTCTCTCTCTCTCTCTCTCTCTCTCTCTCACACAAGAACAGCATTCATAGGGCATTCATAGGTCCAGCTGACGCACTACACCCCCTCCCTCTCTCTCTCTCTCTCTCTCTCTCTCTCTCTCTCTCTCTCTCACACAAGAACAGCATTCATAGGTCCAGTTGACGCACTACACTCCCTCCCTCTCTCCTCTCACACAAGAACAAGTATCTCATAGGTCCAGCTGACGCACTATTGGTTCTCACACAAGAACAGCATTCATAGGTCCAGCTGGACGCACTACACCCTCTCTCTCTCTCACAACAAGTGAAGACATTTAAGCAAACACGCCAAGGTTAAAATGAGTTAGTGTTACCATAAATGTTTACCCATACAAGTTACGTTTTCTTTCCGGGTTATATTTCAGTCGTTTTCTTTAGATATCTAGCTGTTATGTAGCTTTTCTTAGCTTAAATGGCGACTCTAAGGGGTAATTTAGCTGTTATGTAGCTTTTCTTAGCTTAAATGGCGACTCTATGGGGTAATTTAGCTGTTATGTAGTTTTTCTTAGCTTAAATGGCGACTCTAGAGGGTATTTTTAGCTTTTTGTTGTTTAGCTTAGTTTTGTTTAGGTGTTTTGTTTGTAAATGATGTCACTACCAATCATAGACCCTCATAACTTGAAGGTCAAGTACTATTGGCTAAAAACCCATGACGTCACTACCAATCATAGACCCCTATATCCTGAAGGTCGAGTACTACTGGCTAAAATCCCATGACGTCACTACCAATCATAGACCCTCGTATCCCGAAGGTCAAGTACTATTGGCTAAAACTCCATGACGTCACAACCAACCAGCGCACCTCGGCGCCCAAATGTCGTCACTCCCCAAATACCAGTTGATCTCTACATCGAAATGGCGTCTCAGATCATCACAAAGTTCAAGGTTAAATAATAAACATCTTCATTTGGCCTTAAAGATCAAATTCGACTGTAAAAACAAATACCAAGGAGATGACACTGTGAAGAAGTGTGTAACCGTTGCTCTTTTGTTTTACTGACGTCATGGGTTCATCTCCTTATACTATGACGTCATGGATTCATTAGCCTAGTATTATGACGTCATGTAGGGGGTGTTGCCATATAACGAGGATTATTTTTTTTACGTATGTTTGATTTTACGTTTTTTTATGAATTAAAGCACAAGACAGACACAGACAGACAGACACATATATACGAACACAGACACAAACACAGACACATACTGTACATACATACTTGGGACACCCACGCCAGAGCTGAGGACCATCTACAACGCCTTTATTCTCCCCAAACTAATGTATGCGTCACCAGCCTGGTCGTTTTCTCTCAACTCCACCCAACAACGTCAGCTAGAGAAGGTACAGAAAAGGTCCAGCAGAATCATGCTCGGTGCAGACTACTCCGGCTACACCAACGCTCTCTCCACCCTGGAAATGCCATCCCTCAGTGACCTCCACCACCAAGCACTGGAAAGGTTTGGCCGTGGACTACTGCACCACCCTCGCCATCGCCACCTCCTGCCACCTGCAGCCCCCCACCCAACTCGCGCAGTCCGCCACTACAACAAAATACAGCCCATAAGAGCCCGCACCGATAGATATAAGAACAGCACCATCCCATCTATTGTTAAAATAATAAACAACTCCTGATTTATGTACTGCACAGCCCTGTAAATGTATTCAATGCATATTATATCATTATGTCTAAATTAAATGTAAGTCTGTATATTTTCAGCCACGGCTGCAACTCTATTAATAAACCGTTTATTATTATTATTATTATACACACACACACACACACACACACACACACACACACACACACACACCACGTCACCACCAAATATAAACGACCTCTGTACCGGGGTCAGGGGAGGCAAATTCCACTCGTTAAATTGGTTGAGCTGTGAAATGGTTAGAGTTAGTTAACACGCCAATAACATCAATAACAACAATAACATCATCAATAACACGTCAATAACATCCACCACAACATCCTCTTCACCTTGAAAATAACATTGACAATAAAGCACCAATCACAGCCTGTTGTGGTTTATAGTGACGTCACGATTACCCTGGGGTTGCGGGGGAGTGGGGAGAGGTAGAGGGGAAGGAGGGGGAGGAAGGGAGGGAGAGGGAGGTATTACCTTGACAATGGCCAAGTTCAAGGTCGGTGGGGAGAGGAGGGAGGGAGGGAGGGAAGGGGGGAGGGAGGGAAGGCTTGATGTTACGCCATTTCACAGGTGAGGGAAGTGGGGGGGTAGGGAGGAGGGAGGAGGGAGGGGTAGGAGGGGGAGGGGGTAGGAGAGAGGGGAGGGAGTGAGTACCTTCTCAGTTTGCCAAGTTCAAGGTCTGTGGTGAGAGAGAGGGAGGGAAGAGGGAAGGAAGGGAGGAAGGGAGGAAGAGGGAAGGAAGGGAGGAAGAGGAGGAGAGGAAGGAAGAGGGGCCAAGAGAGACAAGAAGGAAGAAGAAAGGAGAAGAAGGGGAGGATGAAGGAGGAGAGGAGGAGAGGAGGAGGAGGAGGAGGAGGTGCAATTCTCACAACAGCAAGTTCAAGGTCTTCCTGAAACACCTGGGACGGTAGACTGATGTGCTATTTGACGAGGAGGAGGAGGAGGAGTGGAAGGAGGACCCCAACAAACACCCAGGACCCCAACAAACACCCAGGGACCCCAACAAACACCCAGGGACCCCAACAAACACCCAGGGACCCCAACAAACACCCAGGGACCCCAACAAACACACAGGGACCCCAACAAACACCCAGGGACTAACAAACACCCAGGGATTTAACAAACACACAGGGACCCCAACAAGCTTTAGGGACCCCAACAAACACACAGGGACCCCAACAAACACCCAGGGACCCCAACAAACACCCAGGGACCCCAACAAACACAAACAAACACAGTACTTACCCCACAAACCCCAACTGGGTACAAATTAGCCTTCCTAGTTGATGTGTCCAGCCTCTAGCGTCGACAAAGGCCCATTGATCCTGAGACATCACCTGTAGGTCGCCTGCCCAGGGCCCTCTGCCGTTCCGTAGACGAACTTTTTGCCCTGTGTACGGAGCTCCTACGGTGATTCCTGTAGGATAGATGGATAGTTGAGGAGGTGGATAGGTGGATAAGGAGGATAGGTGGATGGGTGGTGGATTGATAGACACAGGGTAGATGGATAAATAATGTTAATTTTACGTAACCTATCCTATCCCAACCTAACCTAACCTAACCTAACACTAACGTAACCTAACCTAACACTAACGTAACCTAACCTAACACTAACGTAACCTATCCTAACCTATCCTAACCCAACCTAACCTAACACTAACGTAACCTAACACTAACCTAACTAGCGCTTGAGGACGAACTGCATATTCCAGGAAATGACTTTGCAAATTTGGAGTGAGAGGTGAGGGGGGGAGGAAAGACAGACATACAGACATACACAGACAGACAGACAGACAGACACACACACACACAGACAGACACACACACACACAGACAGACAGACACACACACACACACAGACAGACAGACAGACACACAGGCAGACAGACAGACAGACACACACACACACACAGACAGACAGACAGACACACAGGCAGACAGACAGACAGACACACACACAGACACACACAGACAGGAGAGATCAACACTACATGACTCCGGGTTACAATGAGGTATATTAAAGGCATTTGTAACCCGTATATAATGTGTCGAGTCATCTGGTAGTGTTGAGTTGTAGTGAAGATCCTCCTCCTCCTCCTCCTCCTCCTTCCTCCTCCTCCTCTTCCTCCTCCTCCTTCCCTTCCCTCCTCCTCTTCCTCCTCCTCCTCCTTCTTCTCCTCCTTCTTTTCTCCTCCTCCTCCTCCTCTTCTTCTTTGGGAGGAGACAGGAGGAGGGAAGGAGTGAGGGAGGGAAGGGAGGGAAGGAAGAGAGGGAGAAGGGAAGGGAGGGGAAGGAAGGGAGGAGGGAAGGAGGGGGAAGGTAAGGGGGGGAAGGGAGGGAGGGGGGGAGGGAGGGAAGGGGAGGGGAGGGAGGGAGGAGGAAGGAAAGGAGGAGGGAAGGTGTGAAGGAGGGAAGGAGTGAAGGGAGGGAAGGGAGGAAGGGAGAGGAGGGAGGGAAGGAAGAAAGGAAGAGAAGGTAAGGGAGGGGGGGAAGGTAAGGAGGGAAGGGAAGGGGGGGAAGGAAGGAGGGGAGGGGAGGAGGGGGGGAGGAAGGAGGAGGGAGGGGAGGGGAAGGTAAGGGAGGAGGGAGGGGAGGGTACAAAAGAACAATGTAGTTTATTTTATCGCCAGGGTTGAGGTCATAGCCTTCACTGCTGAGGGAGGGAGGGGAGGGAGGGTAGGGAGGGGGGGGGAGGGTAGGGAGGGAGAGGGAGGGAGGGGGGGGGAGGGAGGGAGGGAGGGAGGGGAGGGAGGGAGGGAGGGGAGGGGAGGGTAGGGGAGGGAGGGAGGGAGGGGAGGGGAGGGAGGGGAGGGTAGGAGGGAGGGGAGGGAGGGAGGGTAGGGGAGGGAGGGAGGGAGGGAGGAGGGAGGGAGGGAGGGAGGGAGGGAGGGAGGGGAGGGAGGGAGGGAGGGGGAGGGAGGGGAGGGAGGGGAGGGTAGGGAGGGAGGGAGGGAGGGAGGGAGGGAGGGTAGGGAGGAGGGAGGGAGGGAGGGGGGGGAGGGGGGAGGGTAGGGAGGGAGGGAGGGGAGGGAGGGAGGGAGGGAGGGATGGGAGGGAGGGTAGGGAGGGTAGGGAGGGTAGGGAGGGAGGGAGGGTAGGGAGGGAGGGTAGGGAGGGTAGACTATGCATGGGATTAGCAACGACTATCCCCTGATTGGCTATGATAGACTTAAAACGTAATGAGTGACGTCATATCCTCGTGTCTGATTGGCTGGAAGGAAGTACAACAAGGGAGATGACGTTACATCCTCGTGTCTGATTGGCTGGAGGGAAGTACAACACGGGAGATGACGTCACATCCTCTCTCTGATTGGTCAAGGTTATGTATGGGGGTGAATGGCCGGTGTTTACATACAGCTGTTCATATATTCACAAACTACAGAAAAACTACAATAAACTACAAGACCAAAATACAGTAAATACAATAAGAATAAATGAAAGGGGAAGAAGAATCGAATAAACGGGGTAAAAGAGAGAAAAAATGAGATAAAGATGAAGGTTGAAGAAAAAGTTGCTCAGGTAAGGTTAATTAAGTCTGCCACACCTTAGGTTGGTACAAGGTCTGAGAGAGAGAGAGAGAGAGAGAGAGAGAGAGAGGGAGAGAGAGAGGGAGAGAGAGGGAGAGGGAGAGAGGGAGAGAGAGAGGGAGGAGAGAGAGAGAGAGGGAGAGAGGGGGGGGAGAGGGAGAGAGAGAGAGAGAGAGAGAGAGAGAGAGAGAGAGAGAGTGTAAAGAAGCAGATAGACAGACAGACAGGGAAACAGACAGACAGAGAGAGAGACAGAGTTAGGTTATAAACGTGACTTCCTTACGACCTTCTACCCTGAGCCATCTTCTGCTAGTCACTTCCTATTACTGTGTCTTTAAATAGCTAGCCATGTGTTCATACTACTAGCCATATATATGTCTTGGAACTACTAGCAATGTCTTGGAACTACTAGCAATGTCTTGGAACTACTAGCAATGTCTTGGAAATAGCTGGATTGACCAATAGGATCATCACGACACCTAATGACGTCATGAAACGAATATGACGTCACTAAAAACTAGAAATGAATTTGGTATATACAAATGGTGACCTCACGACCAATCAATGACCTTCCCTGTGGTTATTACATAAGAGGTATGACATCACGACCAATCAATGACCTTCCCTGTGGTTATTACATAAGAGGTATGACATCACGACCAATCAATGACCTTCCCTGTGGTTATTACATAAGAGGTATGACATCACGACCAATCAATGACCTTCCCTGTGGTTATTACATAAGAGGTATGACATCACGACCAATCAATGGCGTTCTTGTGATTATGACATCACGACCAATCAATGACGTCCCTTTTGGTTATGACGTCAGAGGAGGATGGCTTTGGGGAAATCCGTCGACCATCCAGCCAGTTTTTATAACGTGAGTCGGATTTTTTAGGATTTATTGATATCCGGCAACCTTCCCCGCAACCGGATTCACTAATAAAACCTTATAAGTGGGTTTAATACACTTATAAACGAGTTTATTGTGTATTTAAGTAATAAATCATTTCAGTCTGATGACTTAACCCCATAAGACAATCTGTGTTACTATCAACCAATCAGAGACAGCTAGTTAGTCAATGAGCCAATCAGACATTACCAAAAAACCAGTCAACCAATCACAGGCCTTTAGAAGTATAAATAAAGGAAAGATCCTTCAAAAATCTATACAAATCCATTCTTATTTCGTCCCCTAGAAGAGTACGTCATATATATGTCCACAATTACCTCTAATGAGAAGTAAAAACCCTGTAAAAACCAACTAAAAACCTAATAAAAACCTTGTAAAACCCTTTGAGACGTAGTGTAGTGACAACAGGAAGGACAACGCCTGGGAAACGGTATTTTTCCTCCGGTTTTCACTGTTTTGTTGACGAGATTCTCCGTTATTTGCTGACAAGTGCCATGGGAAGTCTCGGAGAGTAACCGACGAAAACAGACCATTAGTTGTCGACATTTTTTTTTTTTTGTTTATGTAGTGTGTCGTAGTGATTTTTGTAGTAGTAGTAGTAGTAGTAGTAGTAGAAACAGTAGTAGTAGTAGTAGTAGTAGTAGTAGAAACAGTAGTAGTAGTAGTAGAAACAGTAGTAGTAGTAGTAGAAACAGTAGTAGTAGTAGTAGTAGTAGTAGAAACAGTAGTAGTAGTAGTAGAAACAGTAGTAGTAGTAGTAGTAGTAGTAGTAGTTAAAATCACCTGACCAAATCCACCTCAGTGTGTTAATTAACCTGAGCATTGTTTAATTACTCTACCTGTTATTGCTTACCTGTACAGATGTGAGAACGTATCTAACTGACTCACTTAAGCTACCACACATAGATGGATTCTCAAAGGTTCCTACGTTACGTTTTCCTCCTAACTGGTGATGTGAGAACGTATCTAACTGACTCACTTAAGCTACCACACAAAGATGGATTCTCAAAGGTTCCTACGTTAAGTTTTCCTCCTAACTGGTGATGTGAGAACGTATCTAACTGACTCACTTAAGCTACCACACAAAGATAGATTCTCAAAAGGTTCCTACGTTAAGTTTTCCTCCTAACTGGTGATGTGAGAACGTATCTAACTGACTCACTTAAGCTACCACACAAAGATGGATTCTCAAAGGTTCCTACGTTAAGTTTTCCTCCTAACTGGTGATGTGAGAACGTATCTAACTGACTCACTTAAGCTGCCACACA